GTAGGTTGTGGTTCTCCAAGAAATTTTAAGTTTTACGATTGTCGTCTTGAGTCTGTGCCAGTCCTCTCCATTCCCGACCTTCCTCGTTCGTTTTTGGTCAATATTCTTTCCACCAATTTTGTCTTTTTGTGTTAATGTTTTGTTGTCTGCTATCCTGTGCCGTTTTCATGCATACTATTAAACAACAATTTTGCTTGTCGAAAAGCAAAAATCAAACTATTGTGAAGTTCATCCCGCAGATTTCGGTTTCAGTGCATTAGTCATCATCCTCAAACTTCGTCAAACGCTCCAAAGTCCTAAAAACCTTAAAAGGTTTCGAAACGAAACGATATACCCAGGAGAGAAACGCACCAGGGTGTATTCTGTTACATGAGCTTGTGAAAGAGAAGTTTACAAGTTAGCCATTGCTCCCTATAAACGTCTTCAAAAAGCATGAATTATTTGTTATGATAAGCTGAGAGGGAGAGAGCCAAAAGAGGTAAATTAAATGCCAACTTGCGTAGTTTAATCGTTTATGAAGTTTGAAAAAGGCGCCAATTCATTAACCGAACGAAACTCATCCGAACAGTTCCTCCATGGTTCGTGGGCCAGATAAGGAAATTTCGCTACCCGCTAAAAATAGTCAGATTGCAGGATTTATTGAATGACGAACCGAACAGACTGAGGGGAAGACGATGTAAACAGCAATGGATCCTTACCCCAATATTCTCATATTTTTATTCCTGTAGAAGCTTGTGACATGAACGAGACAGGTGAGGTTATACAGTCCGTCTTGATTGGCCTCGTTGTCGCCAGTTTCTTTCTCAAAACCTGTCGAGTTCTACAGATCATTGGATTTTGTAAGAAATGCTTGGTTTGCAAACACAACAGAGGAATCATACACAGAATCCTCATATGGTCCAAAGCTCTGCATCTGGCCATGTTCGATATCTATTGTTTAATCTCTGAGGACTCGAGTGCTATAGAATATGGAAAGAGGCTTCTTCACACCCTTCATAGCTATGACGAGAAATCTTTAGAATGTAACCTACTCCTAACACTAGCCGTTCTCTGTGAAAACCATGGGAAACTAGTTGATGCAGAGGAACTCTTTCAAAAGGCAGCAGAAATCAATACGGAAATAGGCAACAGTAGCGAAGAAGCCTTTTGCTACGAGAAACTGGGGATTGTCTGTGATTCTCTTGGTAAAACCGTCAAAGCGACGGAATCGTTCGAGAATGCTCTGAAGGTCAGAATACAAGTGGGTGACAAAACTGGACAAGCCAGAAATTACTCCAACCTTGGGGCCATGTTTCAGTCTCTTGGTAAATACACGAAGGCGAAAGAGTATCTCGAAAAAGCAATTTCTATCACAAAAGAATCAGGCGACAGGGATCTAGAAGCGAGTTCTCATGGAAACCTAGGGACAGTGTTGGAGAGAACTGGTGAATATAACAAGGCAAAAGAGCATCACGAAAAGTCACTCGCAATTAAGCAAGAAATTGGTGATCAAAAAGGTAAAGCCCCGACTTATGTGAACCTGGGCATTGTTTTTCTATCTCTTGGCGAGTATGCCAGAGCTAAAGAATATTTTGTTAAGGCTCTTATGATGTATCAAGAAGCTGGTGAAAGAGTGGGAGAAGCAGTATGTCACGGAAACATTGGAATAGTTTTACAGCGTCTTGGTCAATATCTAGAGGCAAAGAATTCTCACGAAAAATGCCTGAAAATCAGGCACGAGATTGGTAACAAGGATGGAAAGGCATCATCTTATTGCAACCTAGGAACTGTCTTTCTCGATTTAGGTGAATATACCGAGGCTAGGGGTTATTTTGAAAGGGCGATTGAAATCGGAATAAAAACTGGTGACAAATTGGTTGAAGCGAAATCTTATGGAAATCTAGGAAATGTGTTCCAGCATCTTAGCAAATATCGTAAGGCACAAGATTATTACCAGAAAGCACTTTTCATAGAACAAGAAATTGGACACAAAAAAGGAGAGGCAGCATGTTATGGAAATCAAGGCAATTTGTTTCAACGTTATGGTGACTATGCAAAGGCTAGAGATTATTACGAAAAAGCGATTAGAATCCAACAAGAAATTGGTGACATCAATGGTGAGGCTACATCTTACGATGGTTTAGGAACTGTGTATCAAATTCTGGGTGATTATAGCAAGGCAAAAGATTATTACGAAAAAGCTGTGGCAATCATACGAAAACTCGGGAACAGAAGAGGTGAAGCCTCGTTTCACTTGAACAGTGGAACTTTGCTCCAATTCCAAGGTGAGTATTTCAAGGCAAAGGATCACTACGAAAAAGCACTTGCAATCGCCCAAGAAATCGGCGCAAGGAAAGAAGAGGCATTATGTAAAGGAAACCTAGGAACTGTATTTAATCATTTGGGTGAATATGTAAAAGCGAAGGATTACTACGAGAAAGCACTAACAATCCATAAAAAAATGGGTAATAGAGGAGGTGAAGCTTCTTGCTATGGGAACCTCGGCGCTTTGTTTCTCTCTCTTGGAGAATATGTCGAGGCACGACATTATTTCGAAAAAGACGTGGGGATAAGAAGAGAAATTGGAGACAAAAGAGCGGAGGTCACGTCGTACATAAATGTCGGAAATGTGTTTTTCAGTCTTGGAAAATACAAGAAGGCTGACGAAAATTTTCAAAAAGCGCTTTCAACTTCAAAACTACTTAGTTACAGACAGGGAGAAGCAGGATCTTACAGTATGATTGGAAGCATTCATCGCGTTATTGGCGACCACCAAATGGCCAAAGAATACTTCGAGAAGGCTGTATCAATCAGTGAAGAATTCGGGGACAAGAAAGGATTGGCAAGAGATTATGAACACCTGGGAAGTTTATGCATCTCCCTTAGTCAAAACGTCAAAGCCAAAGAATATTTTGAGAAGGCACTTGCCATCAGCAGAGAGATTCGTGACAGCAAAAAAGAGTTCTTGATTCTTTGCAGACTTACAAACGTTTCAATTTTGGAAGGAGCTGTTTTAGACGCATTTGCATGTCTCTTTACAAACATTCAGAATTGCGAAGAATTGCGTGGTGTCGTTGGGGACAGTGATCAATTTAAGATATGTTTTGCACAACAGCGTGTTTTCCCGTACTGGATTCTCAGTAAAATGTTTCGCTTGATGGAAGACTATAATCAGGCACTCTGCGTATTAGAGCTCGGGAGAGCCCGGGCCCTAACCGACACACTGTCAGCCAAGTATTCATTAGCAAACCAAGTGTCCATTGATTTCCAATCCTGGACCGACATTGAAAATTTAATGGATAAACAGAGGAAAAGCACCTGCCTCTACATCTCGTATACACCTCGAAATTTGGTTCTGTGGATTTTAAAGAGAAACGGTGTCTTCAAAATCCACGAAAGAGAATTCATTGATGTAATGCAGGGCGGATTATTGAGAACGTGGGATGAATTTTTTGCTGAAAGCTTTCGACAGTTTGGCGTTTTGTCCCAAGGAAGTCATCAAGATCGCTATTCGTATGAGAATCAAACGAAAGATTTGTCAACCGAGGGAGGTAATTTCGCTTCTTTTCGACCAATAGAGGAAGACGAAGACCAGGAACCTGACCCAAAGCTACGTTTGTATTATGACATGATCATTGCTCCTATTGCTGACTTCCTTGAAGAGCCCAACATCATCATCGTTCCAGATCGTCAGTTGTATCGGGTGCCATTTGCAGCTTTACAGGCAAAGAATGGGAAATTTTTATCCGAGATGTTTAGGATTCGCTTCGTACCATCGTTGACGACTCTTAAACTCATTCAGGACAGTCCAGATGATTACCACAGTCAAACCGGTGCATTGATTGTTGGTGATCCTGAAGTTGGTGAAGTCATTTATAAGGGTCGCCGCAAAGTAATACCACCATTGCCTTGTGCTCGAAGGGAAGCAGAGATGATTGGGCGACTGCTGAACATCGAGCCTTGATAGGACAACAAGCAACCAAGAGGGCCGTTCTTCAGAGGATCAAATCCGTGAGTTTGATACATCTAGCAGCACATGGTAACGTAGACAGAGGAGAAATTGCACTTGCACCTCTCCGTCCCATTTACCATACTCCAAGACATGAAGAGTTTGTTTTATCAATGACTGACATATCTCAAGTTAAGCTGCGAGCAAAACTTGTAGTTCTGAGTTGTTGTCACAGTGCACAAGGACAGATCAGAACTGAGGGAGTGGTTGGCATTGCTCGAGCGTTTTTGGGATCCGGTGCACGTTCAGTGTTGGTGGCACTATGGGCCCTGGAAGACAGTGCAACAGAGCAGTTGATGAAGTGCTTCTACGCACACCTCGCACGTGGTGAAAGTGCTAGTGAATCTCTTCACCATGCTATGAAGTGGATGAGACGTAATGGGTTTTCCCTTGTGAGCCAGTGGGCACCCTTCATGCTGATTGGAGATGATGTGACTTTTGATTTTAGAGTAATTTTTGGGGGAAAAGTCTAAGATTTAAAGTTTCTCCTGAGACTTTTCTGAAATGCTTCAACATTTAGCAATCATGCACATTTTAAGAGGTTTAGCGTAAGTAAGGCGGTAGCATTTTGCTCGTGTCGCACAATTAGCTGACCAATTTGTTTCAAGTAAGCCTAAAAGCAAAAGCAGGTACAAAGAGTCATGAGAAGAGGAAGGTACGATGTTAAGTTAGGGATTTGATTCACATTTCATGGAACGATTTTGAAGTATCAGCAACATGTAACGGTAAGACAATTTAGTCTCATCAATAGAGATACTGACAGTTACCTAATTGAAATAAACCCGGCGCTTTTGCATGATCAGTGTAAATAAAAGAGGATGAAAGAAACGAAACTCAGAATGTTTTGTTTGTTTATTCATTGCGGTTATGTTTCATATTCTCTTTGCAAATAAATTTAACTCTAACCCTCCCCTTGTGGGGAGGCAGTACACCCGGGACAGCTGTGGAGGGAGTCGTGGATAAAGATGTCGCATTCCATGCAAAAGAACTGTGCACATTGAGGGCAAGAATATATCTGCAAGAAAACAAACGTAATACTCGTATCAAGATGATTTAATTTTAACAACTGAGTTGATATTATAAATTGGCCACCATGAAGAGTTTCTAAACTGACGTTTCAAACGTTAATCCTTCGTCAGAGCGAAATTGCACGTAAATCGGTCAAAAGTTTCGGCCATTCAAAAAGCACTTTTCCAAACACATCGCCTTCGGAAACAGTGTGGGTTTGAGGTCTGGGGTTCGATTCATCGTAGGAACTCGTGACAAGACGAATGACATCTTTTTTACAGTGCAAATTACTTCGGTTATTGTACTTTCTTATGAAGTCACGCCAGAATGTATTTGGCGAAAAGTCTTGTACAAGCTTTATTTTTCTGCTGGATAGCAACAAATGGACATTAATCGTATGTATCTATCAAGATTTATTACTGTTTAGTACACCTTTGTGAAAAATGACAGTGGGAATCCGCTCGACTGTGATCGTTATTGTGCCCTCCTCCTTCAACCGCAAGGAAGGAGTGAAGCTTTTCTGGATATTTTTTAGATCAACGAACAGCTATGCTGGTCTGTTCAATAATTCAATAATCAACAACATCAAAGAGTCACAAAACAAACGAAAGGAAAAGATAAGAGAACCGTGAATACAACTTCGCGATAACAAAAACCACAACGGCATCGATCACAATCACAGTAAATCACACGAACAAAAGGAAAACAGCTAATTATATGAAAATTGCTCACCGTTTGTTCTGTAAACGCTCTTTGGCAGGCGAAGCAATAATTGTGTCTATACAGATTAAAAAAGAAAAAAACCTGAATACGACATCGAGGTAATAACAGAATCTTGCATTATTCAAATAATTTGAAAAAGATCGTTGAATGCTGTTCTTAGTGGTGAATCGGGAGGGAATGACACAATAACGTGATTTTCAGTTGTGTGCTTAAAGTCTTTCACTATTGACACACTCCGCGATTCGTCTGAAGAATGCAAACAAGGGCAAACATAAAACCAACTGCAACTAAGTCACTTGTGATTTTCCTCGCTCGAGGTCGTTTAGGTGTGTTAAAACCCAGTTTTCAGAGTCTCTTTGCGCTGGTAATCTTTGTTCTTGTTAGCTGTTTTGATGACTTTGGTTTAACAACACGCAATGTTAAAGAGCTGTGGCCCCAAGGGAACCAAAGATACGAACGTCTCATAAAATTTATCAGTCCATCAACTCAGACTAACAAATAACAATGAGCAACGGTTGAATACTTTTTAAAAAGGCCATAACCATGTCATGCACAATGCAGATCACATTGAGATCGATTATAAAACTTCACCCATTTGGCATTCTGACCGCTACACGAAGTGCAGAATTGAAATCAGACCTTGATCTACTCGATTTGCATCGTTATCTCAACAGTGTATTTTACCTGGGTAAGCTTTTTCCATCCACAGGAGTTGACAAATCTGTTTCAGTGAACTGAGGAAGCGGGAATAAGTGCTGATACGAACGAGCCAAATGAGGAGCAGACACAAGCGTTAGACCTGTAAAACACATGCCACATTACTATTAGTATTCCAGTAAAATATAACAATTCTCGAATGTCCAAAGACTTTTCCATGTCTTTTCTACCATGGTAGAAGAAATTTAAAAGTTCTATCAAATCACATTGCACAAGCAGAACTGAATTACCCCGCGAAGGACACCGTTCTCACATGTTCTTAAAGTTGTGTGGTAAAGTATTTCAGTAAATCAAGGTTAAAAAAATTTCCATAAGCATTTTAGTTAATTGTCCTGTTAGACCACAGTTTTACAGCTCTTTTACTTTTATTTAATAATACTTTTCAAAAAAAAAAAAAACCAAAAAAAACCAAAATAAAGACGCACTCAAACGACCCTCAGCCAGGGTATGGCCCAGGTATGTTCTTAGTGTGTTTAAAAATAGTGTATCAGCGTTGCGTGGTTCACTTCTCAAAAATACAGGCTGATTCATCAAGATATTATTACCCTCTCTGCGTCGATACCTACGAGAGCCATTTTACCTCTGTCTAAACAATGGGTCCTCGTAGAAAGAAATTGATTTCTTAAAATGGGAACTCACCACAAACTTTGCACTCTACGGGCAGGTCACAGTACTTGCTCTTACACTAAAAAAATGGTTGAAAAAAAGGAGAATCAGTATTTGCCATCCCTTATCGTGCAGCTTTGGAAATAAGAGGGAATGAAAAGGCTCATCATACCTGCGGACAGAAGTATCCTGATGTGCTAAGTCCTTTAACACCGTTACTATCCAAATGACTACAAAAAATACAACAAAATACCAATCAAATGGATGAATGATAAGTATTCTAAAATACCGTAAAAATATTAGTGAAAACCTGTGCAGTAATGCGCTTTTTGGATGCCAAAAAGAGAAAAGAAAAGATAGAAAGGAAAATCTTCTCCAATCTATCCCAGTTTTAGTAGAATGAATCAAACATGAATATTATTAATCCTCTTAAATGGGATTCAACCAAATCGAACCATAGTATTATGTGAGGTTCTTGGACCATTTAGTTCCAACCATTTCTCCTAATGGGTGAAGGAAGTACTTACTACGACTTGAGTTTAATCCCAGTGAAATAATGAACAAAGTGCAGTACATGGCTGCAATAGCATGTTCTGAGTAAAGTTGAGGATGTTAATTAATGCCCCTTTGAGGCATCAGCTCTTAACTAAACCACTATTATTTCTCTGTACTTCTTACATGAAATTGTGCAAATAGTGACAAATAGGGCACGCGGGAAACACTCAAATTACGTAATAATTATATTTATTACCACATGCACAAGGATGGTGGTCCGCTTGAAAGATGCTGAGGGAAACCTGTGTACAATTTCAGAAGAGACCAGAAATCAACCATTCTATTGTAGATTCACTGCAAATGAGCATTTCTTCTAGACGTTTGCTGGGCTGAAGGTTCATGGAGATTTTCACTTTTCATTTATTACATTAACATAGCATACATATCCTCATTAAAAGGATTCTTATAGCAAATGTGAAGCACAGTACAGTGTATGTACATGTAAAGCATTTCAAAATGATATGCAATGATTTAGACATCAACAATACTTACCCATTCGAATCAAAGCAGCTTCTGTATCAGTCTACAACAAATTAAGAACAACTCAAAAACATTCTTGAAATAAAGCTGTTTGAACCCTGGAGTAACAGTTGAATTTGCAGGGCTACCATTCGGGAGAGAGAAGAACTGTTTGACCCCTGACAATATCTTTGTCTTAGGGTTGACAGACTATGGGTCATGGTGACGAACAACAGTACTTTTTGTAACTTCGCAATGAATAACTAGCTCATTAACAACAATGGTTTTTTAACATAAAAAAAAAAACAGGTCAGAAGACCACACTGGAGTTAAATGCACAGGCCCACCTGAAAATCTCACCCTACAGGTGTTTGGTTGTTAGGCATGAACAACGATCTCAGTTACAAAAAGTACATTAATTTTTTCCTTCATTCCTGTTAATAAGACTGTAGATGTAACAGTGAGTACAGATAAATCTGTCATTCTCATGGAAACAATCAAACAGTTTGAAAAGGTTTTCTATCATTATGATACTCCATGACCAAATAGCTTTGCAGTTTTTGGATTCATGGAGTTCCTCTCTTGAAAAACAAAATACATTTGTAAAATAAAATTGATATAAATGTTAACAACAGCACTGAAGGATTTATCAGTATCCCTGTGCATACCTTAGCCACAGGTGGTGTAACATGCTGCATTAATAATTCACGGTAATGTCTTTCATCCAGAATAACACCATAACTCCCTAAAAAAAAGTTAACACAGCCAAGTTCAATGGATTCTCAAAAGTGTTTCATCCAGAATGTTCACCATAACTCCCTAAGAAATGCTTACCCAGCCAAGTTAAATGAATGGATCCTTAAATATGTTCCATTATTTTCAAGCAC